TATGACTTTTGGTATTGGTGCAACTTTAGCTTTTTGAAATATTTAGTCTTTTCTGCCATTTTTCTTCCTCATAGAAAATGAACTGAGCTCATTTTAAATCCTTCAAATCTTTGGATCTGTTTAACCTTTTACGGCTCCTTTCACATTTTGTTCTGATTCAGCTTCTTTCAGCTTCCTTGTGCACATTTATACTTTTTTCAGCTACTTTCAGCTGTTTTGTGCTCCTTTCAGGATCTTTCTGCTAACCACAACATTTTTGTGCATCTTCTAACTTCTTTCTTCTAATTTCAGCTTGTTCTGCTCCTTTCAGCTTCTGCTATTTTATATTTAGCTGTTTTATGCCAATTTTAGCTTTTTCAGCTAATTCCACATTTTATTGAACTAATGTCAACTTTTTCAGCCTAACTGGGCGCAATTGTACTCTCTCCAGTTCCTTCTCCTAATTTAAGCTTCTTTCTGCCTTTAGCTATTTTTTAGCCTTTTTTTTTTTTGCACATTTCTGCTTTTTTTCAGATAATTTCCATTTTCTTGTGCTCATTTCTGCTTCTTTCAGGTTAATTGGGCAAACATGTTCTTTTTACTTTCTTCGGTTAACTTAAGCTTATTCTAAATTTTTTAGATACATTTTTAGCATTTTTTAGCTAATTTCGGCTGTTTTTCAACAAGTTCTTTTGCAATAAGCATTCACACTGCATTTTTGTAGGAAATGCAATTTCTTTAGTTTTATTGGTTTTGTGCTGCAGTTTAATATCAAATGATTATTTGCTCTTTTGAGTCATAATAAAGTTTAAAATCTACCTCTAAATTATGTTGCACACATTAACTTGAAAGCTCATTTCTTTGCCGTGTTTTTGTTTTTTACTTTGGAAATTATTGTTTTAACACTTGCAGCACAGTGGTGCAGATGGTAGAACTGCTGCCTCTCAGCGAGCAGGTTGCCCCGTTCAAATCCTGGCCCGGGGTGGGGTGGGGGGGGGGGTTCTGGGTGGAGTTTGCATGTTCTCTCCGTGCACGCATGGGTTTTCTCCGGGTACTCCGGTTTCCGCCCACAGACCAAAAACATGCATGTTAGGCTGATTGGTAACTCTAAATTGTCTAGGTGTGAGTGAGACAGTGAATGGTTGTTTGTCTCTATGTGTCCCTGTGATGGACAGGAGACCTGTCCAGGGTGTCCCCCACCTCTCGCACAGTGATAGCTGGAAATGGGCACCAGTGACCCGAAAAGGAAGAAGCGGGTAAAGATAATGGATGGATGGATGTTTTAACACTTCATCTAATTTTGATTATATATTGGTTTTTCCAAGTGAAGGATAGAAATTCAGATTTTCAGTGAACCTGCCATTAAAGAAGCCATTATAAGGAAAACAAGCACTTATCCTTGTTTTATATTAATCCAAAAAAGCATGCATTCTTGATGTTATATTCTAAAATCTTTAAGAAAACGAAGAGCACGGACCAACAGTTAAAACTAGAGTTTATAGCGTAACTTATGATGTAGAAAAACATAAAGCGTGAATGGTGCATTCGGTGGCCACTTGATTGATTCATTACTCAACATCTGAATCTGCTGTCTTATTCAGTCCTTGAATCAATTCCACAAGGTTCATATTATATTATCATTTACTGTTATTGTTGTATGTTGTTCTGTCTGGAACATGTCCCTCTTTTAAATGAGTCCTCGTGGCTCAATGAGACTAGTCTGTATAAATAAAGGTTGAATGAAAAGATTTACGTTATTACACTGAACCACAGGCACTGAACATGTAGAGATGTAAGAATGAAACTTTGGGATTTATTAGCAGTTTAGTAAATCTAGCCTGAACTCTTTTTACCAACTTCAAAAACAGACACATCCTGCAGAAAAGAGAGGGGAAAACAAGTGCAAATAAATCAGCTCTAAAGACGGGTATTTTGTTACCGTATGGCACTATATGACACTGTATATGGCACCTTAGTACTGTATGGTACTATATGACACTGTATATGGCACCTTGGTACTGTATGGTACTATATGACAATGTATAT